TTCAGCTGGGTTCGGCCCCTCCCCGTGTCCAGTGACCCAATATCACCACTGGGCGTCCCCGAGAAAATAATGGTATTGCCAATGGGTGACCCAAAGCTCCCCAGGTATTGCCTATGAATGATCCCAAAAAAGGGAAATCGTCAGCAGGTGACCCAAAAGAAACAAATATCCCCAATGGGACCCCCCAAAAAAACCCAAATATTTGCAATGAATGGCCCAGAAAATCCTAAAATCATTAGCGAGTGACCCAAAAAAAACAAATATTGCCAATGAATGGCCTAAAACCCCCTGAAATTACACGTGGGATACCCAAAAAACAGAAGTACCCCCAATGGGTGACCCCCAAAACCCCCAAATCATCAACAGGTGAACTAGAAAACCCAAATATTGCCAATGGGAGGTCCAAGGAAACCCAAATCATCAACAAGTGACCCAAAACCCCCAAAATATTGCCAATGAATGACCTAAAAACCCAAGCATCCCCAATGGGTGACCCCAAAAACCCCAGATCATCAATGGGTGACCCAATAAGACCCAAATATTGCCGATAAATGGCCCCCAAACCCCAAATCATCAATGGGAGACCCAAAAAATCCCCAAATCATCAACAGCTGACCCCAGATCCCCAGTATTGCCAATGGGTGACACAAAACCAACCCAGTGACCGATAAAAAAACAAACATGGCCAAAGAGTGACCCCCAAAAAACCCCAAATCGTCAACAAGTGACCCAAAAACCCAAGCATCCACAATGGGAGACCCAAAACACCCAAAATCATCAACAGGGGACCCGAAATCCCCAAAATTATAGCCAAGGGTGACCCAAAAAACCAAGTATCCCCAACGGGTGACCCAAAAAAAGCCAATTATCACTGATGAATGGCCTAAAAACCCCCAAATCATCAATGGGGGACCCGAAATCCCCAATATTATAGCCAACAGATGACCCAAAAACCCAAGTATCCCCAACGGGTGACTCCTCCCCAAAAAATTATCACTGATGAATGGCCTAAAAGCCCCCAAATCATCAATGGGAGACCCCAAACACCCACAATCATCAACGGGGGACCCGAAATCCCCAATATTATAGCCAACAGATGACCCAAAAACCCAAGTATCCCCAATGGGTGACCCCAAAAAAAACAATTGTCACTGATGAATAGCCTAGAAACCCCCAAATCATCAATGGGAGACCCAAAACAGCCACAGTCATCAATGGGAGACCCGAAATCCCCAAAATTATAGCCAACAGATGACCCAAAAACCCAAGTATTCCCAACGGGTGACCCAAAAAAAACAATTATCACTGATGAATGGCCTAAAAACCCCCAAATCACCAATGGGAGACCCAAAACACCCAAAATCATCTATGGGGGACCCGAAATCCCCAATATTATAGCCAAGGGTGACCCAAAAACCCAAGTATCCCCACGGGTGACTTAAAAAAAACCAATTATCACTGATGAATGGCCTAAAAACCCCCAAATCACCAATGGGAGACCCAAAACACCCAAAATCATCAACAGGGGACCCAAAATCCCCAATATTATAGCCAACAGATGACCCAAAAACCCAAGTATTCCCAACGGGTGACCCCAAAAAAACAATTATCACTGATGAACGGCCTAAAAACCCCCAAATCATCAATGGGGGACCCGAAATCCCCAATATTATAGCCAACAGATGACCCAAAAACCCAAGTATCCCCAACGGGTGACTCCTCCCAAAGGAATTATCACCAATGAATGGCCTAAAAACCCCCCAGATCATCAACGGGTGGCCCCCAAAACCCCAAATATCACCCCTGAATCCCCATTATTGCTCTCCCACCTTCAGTGCCACGCTCTGCCCGGGCGTGCAGCAGCTCAGGGCTGGTGGCGAAGACGCAGGTGGGATGGAGCACGATGCCCTGCTTGCTCTTGGTGTGAAAAATCTGCAGAAAGAGCAAAATCAGCCCCTCGAAAAAATTCATTTGAAGAGAACGGAGAGGAAAAATGAGTCGACCCCCCAAAAAAAGGCAAGGATTTATGGAGGAACCTGGTCGGAATCCTTGCGGCTGTCGTTGAGGGGGTCGGGGATGGCGAGTTGTGGGTACAGCCCCCGGCACAGCACCAGTTTGAGCAGGGAGAGCTGGGATGTGCTGAGGATGGAGCTGGATGCAGCCTGCAGCTCTGCCACGTCGTGTCGCAGCTGGAACTTCACGTCCTGGGGGGGGGGGGTTGAACCCAAAAAATATAATGCCCAGGGGTTTGGATTTCGCCCCAAATACGTAAATCCTACAGAAGGGATTCAGCACAACAGACAGCGAATCTCGAGGTGGGATTTAGACCCAAAAAACCCAAAATCTCGGGGTGGGATTTCGCACAAAGACCGAAATCTTGAGGTGGGACTCAGCCCCAAAAAGACTCATCAAACAGAAGAGATGCAGCCCCAAAAACACCATGGCTTGAGGTGGGATTTAGCCCCAAAACCCACAAATCCTACAGAAGAGATTCAGCCCCAAATCTTGAGGTTGGATTTAGCCTCAAAGATCCAAACCTTATGGTTGAATTTAGCCCCAGAGATCGGAATCCTAAAGTGGGATTTAGCCCCAAACCACAAATCCTACAGAAGGCTTTCAACCCTAAAAACAGTGAATCTCGAGGTGGGATTTAGCCCCAAACCCCAAATCCTCAAGAAGGGATTCAACTTTCCAAAAACCCAAATCTTGGCGAGGGATTTAGCCCCAAAAACCCAAATCTTGAGGTAGGATTGAGCCCCAAAAACCTAATTCCCAGAAGTGAGATTAGTCCCCAAAATCCCAATTAGGGAAGTTAGGATTAGGATTGAAACAAACAAACAAAAATGAAGTCCAGATTCAGGATTTGATCCCAAAAGTTCAACTCCAGATTCACGATTTTGCCCCAAAACTCCAACTCCAGATTTAAGACTTCAACCCCCAAAAAACAAAGTCCAGATTCAGGATTCAGCCCCAAAATCCCAGCTTCAGATTTACAATTTCATTCCCCAAAAACGAAGCTCGGATTTACGATTTCACCCCAAAACTCCAACTCCAGATTCAGGATTCAGCCCCAAATCCCAACTCCAGATTTAAGATTTCATTCCCCAAAAACGAAGCGCAGATTCCAGATTTCACCCCAAAACTCCAACTCCAGATTCAGCCCCAAAATCCCAACTCCAGATTTACAATTTCATTCCCCAAAACGAAGCCCAGATTCCAGATTTCAGCCCAAAACTCGAACTCCAGATTCAGGATTCAGCCCCAAAATCCCAACTCCAGATTTAAGATTTCATTCCCCAAAAACGAAGTCAAGATTCCAGATTTCACCCCAAAACTCCAATTCCAGATTCAGCCCCAAAATCCCAACTCCAGATTTACAATTTCATTCCCCAAAAACGAAGCGCAGATTCCAGGTTTCACCCCAAAACTCCAACTCCAGATTCAGGATTCAGCCCCAAAATCCCAACTCCAGATTTACGATTTTAATCCCCAAAACAAAGCCCAGATTCCAGATTTCACCCCAAAACTCCAATTCCAGATTCAGCCCCAAAATCCCAACTCCAGATTTACGATTTCATTCCCCAAAACGAAGCCCAGATTCCAGATTTCAGCTCAAAACTCGAACTCCGGATTCAGGATTCAGCCCCAAAATCCCAACTCCAGATTTACAATTTCATTCCCCAAAAACGAAGCCCAGATTCCAGATTTCACCCCAAAACTCCAACTCCAGATTCCAGATTTCACCCCAAAACTCCAACTCCAGATTCACATCCCCCCCCCCC